CAGTTTCCCCCTTGTTCCATCTCTTGAAAAAACAAGCCAAACAAACACAGACTGAAGAAGGTCTCTCTGCCCCTCTGAGCACCAACCAAGGTATAGCAATGACCTCTGGGTTCTCCCCCTCTCCCTTCAGATCAGGGTCCCCAACAGTTTGAGGCTACCCAGGCAACTCCCAATGTGTCAAGGCCACTCAGTTGGCTCGTGGAGGATCACAGTGGCCAATGGATGGACACTTTGGCAGGTGATTTTCACCCAACTCCTAAAGCTGATCATTGTGGCAGCTCTTACTCTCTGGAACAACTCAAGGCTACATTGTATCCCTTACTGAAGCCTGGGAGAGGGAGGCACAGATTCTGTTCCCTCCCTGAATGTTTTCTGCCAGCCCCCTTTGTCAGTCCCCTCCCCCTGACATGACCAGAAGTTGTGGGTCCACAAGGCTGTCTATCTTTCCTCCAGCTGCAGAGATAAACAGGGAGGGGACTCTCTCTCCCACCTGAACTGTCTGCAGTTCACTTCTCAAGAAGTGTTTTTCCCAAGAGAGGCTACCACAGAGCAAGCCTCCTTCCTTGGGGGCTTGCATCCTGGGCAGCTGCCCATATGGTAAAGGAATGCAGGGAGGGCCTGGCATCCCGTGCAGCCTCACATCTGGAAAGGAAGGCAGACAGTGGTCAACAGACCGTTGGCAATTGAAGCCAGGCTCTGAATCTTACAGCTGTGTTCCTTCCTCGTTCTCTTTCTCGCTTTATAATCCTGGGCTCAGCCCTTAAGCTCACAAGCTGTCGCCTTGCCTAGAGGCCTGGCACCCTTGGGGATCACATGAGCTCCAGCTAAGCAGAGTATCCAGTTCCTGTTCCTGCCTGGGACTGGTCACCCCTACAGGCCTCGGGAACTTTCAGACTCAAAGCAAACCAAAGTCTGGTCTCTGAGTCCACCACCCCCTATCTTAGGCAAGGTGCTCCCCTAGCTGTCCAGAGGAGTAAGCAGCCCCGATCTCAGTCTCCAGTTCAGGATTATTCTGGCCAGATCTACCCCAAAGCTTTTCCAGTTCAGATTTACCTGGCTCTGCTACACTGAGGGCCACCACCTGCTCTTCAGCTCAAGCCTTGATTTTTTTAAAAAAAAAAAAATATTGTAGAGAACGCGTCTGCCAGAATATTCCTGTCCTACCTGCCCTTAAAGGTGGACCGGCTTTTCCAGTGAGGTGCCCAAGGAGCAAGCATTGCCCACTGACAACAATGACCTCGGCTTATGCCACTTCCTAACTTCTTATTTCAGCTTTGAGGTGTTGGGGTGGGGAGAACCTAAAGTACCTGCCCACCTAACTGCTCTCTGGTGAACTTGAGTGGGTCAGTTTGATTTCCTGAGCCTCCGTTGCCCATCTGTAGAATGGAATAGATAATGGGTGTTTCCAGTCTTTGTCTGGGTCCCGAGGGCAGGTTAGAGTTGTGCATTTTGTGAATCGTGAGCCTGCCTCTCAAACACTGGGCCTCCGAGTGCCTTCCAGGCAGTCCACGTTGACAGGTAAGGCTTGACAGGCTCTTCCTCGAGGGTGGAGGATAGAGGGCAGCATTCCCGGCAGCCTGCGGGTAGCACCTGCCAGATCCTCTGGCCCCGCCCAGCAGTGTTCCTGTCTCTGATGTCAATTAGTCCTGCTGCTGACTTCATCAGGGAGGAAGCTCGGGAAGATAAGCAGTCAGGCCCCAGTGTAAACAAGAGCAGGGGCTCCTGGGAAGGGAGGGGCTCAGAGCCCAGAAAGGACTAAACTGGAAGGTGCTGCAGGTGGCGGAAGATTCAGAAGATTCCTTCTGCGGTGACCCAGTAGGAGGGACACTCATGTTTAGAGGCAATGTGTGGGACTGAACAGGACCTCAGGAACCGGGCAGCCCATGTGTGAGAGAGAACACCCAGGAGAGGGTGCTGGCCACAGCTGGTCCGATGCCCAGATTTACGCGACCTAGCGGATCAGGTCAAAAGCTGAATGTTTCCAATTGTGGACTGCTCTTAAGACAGGGGCCTTGAGGCAGGAAGTGTCTGGCTCGGGAGAGTTCCAGGCTCCTTGGGCAGAGCCTTTGTCTCTTGTCTTCCTAGTTACCCAGGACCCCTCTAAACCTGAAGCCAGCTGTTCACACACCAGCCCAGCAACAGGCTGGGGCATCACTGGCTATGGCGAGCCAGGCATAGACAAAGTTCTGTGACGAGGTGACTGTGGGTAAGATGGGTGGGTAAGAACCTCCCAAATAGACATGTAAGAAGGTGTTTGGATCAGGGCCCTGCAAAGGAAGGATATTACCAGTCAGGGAAGAGGGGAGCCAGGGAGCTTGGGAAGCCAACAGGGGACCTGGCTGTGTATCCCAGTGTAGAGGCCCACTACCCAGGGCTGAGCCAGGCTGTGTGGGTGTTTCCAAGCCTCCGTCAGCTGCTCTGTCATCTGCTTTCACACCCAACAACTGATGAGCCCCAGGGAATTCACAGGCAACAGGGTCCTAACAGCTGCTCTGGACAGAGCAGCCTCCTTCCTTCCACCGCCAGGGCTGCGTTCATTATAGCCCACAGCCTGGAGGGTCGGAGCCCGTTCATACAGTTGTCTCAGCTGCACAAAGTGTATCTTCCCAGAACACAGCCCTGTTTAGGCTGCCCTCCCCCAGTCCGAGGCTCCCCAGCCGGTCCTGGACCTGCAGTTACCCAGGCTGGCAGTGTAATAAACTAGTTGGCCAGGGCCACTACAGAACCACCAGGTTTCAACACCTGCCACTGCTTCCTGATTCTGGGTTACAGGGGCTGGAAGGCCAAGACCAAGGTTCCAACTCTTGATATCTGATATCTCCTGAGGCCTGCAGATGGCCATTCCTCTAGTACTTTTAATAGTTCGTGTTCTGTGTACATAGCCCTGGCATCTGTGTTCAAATCTCCCCTGGACTAAGCACACCACTCAAACTGGATTAAACCCACCCTAATGGTTTAACTTGTTTGTACACGTGTTCATATATATGTAAGTGCACATATATGGGTGTCTGGAGGCTAAGTGCAGCCCTCTGTCCACAGGCTAAGCTATTGTCCCATCCCCTAAAGACCTCATTTAATCACCTCTTTAAAGGTCCTGTCTCCAAATAAGTCATTATCTATGGCACGTAAACACGAAGCTTCAGAATTTGAATGGGGGGGGGTACACTTCAGCCCACAGCAGCCACTGGAGAACCCAGAGTCTCACTAGTGGGCTGTTAAGTCCACAAAGGGAACCCTCTTTAGGTTCTCTAGCTCTTTGTGGTCCGCGTGACTGTATCTTCCTGGAAGGAGCTCCTACAGGGCTAGGGTGAGGTTAAGTCCTATTGGGGACTCTGTCTGGCTACAGAATTCTGGAGTCAGTGTGGACATTTATAAAACACTTAATGATTTTCTGGGCACGGTGGTGCACACCTTTAATCTCAGCACTGGGGAGGCAGAGGCAGGCGGATCTCTGTGAGTTTGAGGCCAGTCTGGTCTACAGAGTAAGTTCCAGGACAGCCATGGCTGTTACACAGGGAAATCCTGTCTCTAAAAACAAAAACCAGTAACATCAAAAATAAATAAACTACTGAATGATTAAATGTGAAGGGTCAGGAAGTCCAGAAGAAGAAGCCCCCAACAGAGAAGCCAGTATTCTAGAGTCCTTAGCCCCTGCTGCCCTGGCCTTCCCTTACGTGTGACAGTGGTGGCATCACCCACCTAGCAATGACACCAGGTTTCTGAAGAAGTTTCCTGTCCATTCTCCAAGCCTCGTCCCAACAGCTGCCGAAAGAAAAAGCTGGAGCAACCCTTGCTACAACCACTGAGCTTGATCAGGTCCAGCTTGCTCGAGGGTGGGGCTAGGATTCTGCCTGGGCCTAAACAACACTGCAGGGCTGTCCTGGAGCCTAGAACTGGGCTGGGCTTTCAGGAAGCGAGTGATTCATAGCTGTTACTGCCCTGCAGATGGACACAGGGCACTGACAACATCAGCCCCCGTACCTTAGCCACCTGGTACCAGGCACAGCAGCGAGGCAAAGTGGACTTGGCTAGCTCTGCTTTAGTCTGCAGCAGCAGGCGACCTGAGGGGGAGGAAGGTGGCTCTGCAGTCTTCTTGAAGGCTGACCCTGTAGTGAGGCTTGGCTTTGTCACGTCAGAGTTCTGCACTCTTGGATCATGTAAGCAGACTCTTCATTGGTCACATGTGAATAGATGCCATCATGTAACCAATATTTGATTAATAACATTATGTGTAGGGACTATTTTAGACACTGGAGACAGTAAGGGACAAGCCCATATGCCGATGGAATTTTCACAGACTGGGGTGGACAAGCATTGAGGGCAGTGCTGAATACTGCCCTGCTGTACCTTGGGACCCTTTAGCTGGGGGAAAGGAGGAGTCCAGGAAGAACCTCCCCAAGGCAGGTTCCCCCATGTTAAGCTGCATCAAGAATAGCAACTCAGGTTCCTTGGGCCTGTTAGGGAGGGAAGAGTCAGGTGACTGACACGAAGACTCCATCCCCTGTCTCTCTGGTGGCTGTAGACCCACATCCATCCACAGATTCAGCTTCCACGCCCTTGGAAGGTAGCCCTCTTACTCCTTGTCCTCTCGCCTTCCCTTGCCTGCTGGGGCCAGCCTGCAGGACTCTTCCCAGCCGCCAGGAGACCAGGACCTAAAAAGAGTCAGATGCCCAAGGTCACATCGCTCGTGGGCGCACGTCGGCAATTCCAAGGCCTCCCACCGCCAGCACACGACCTCCTGGACAGTAATTCCGCGCTGCTGGGGACTCCGCCTGTCAATACAGCCCTCCCCCGCCCGTCGCGCGTACAGACCCAGCAGCGCCCAGGAGCAGCGAGAGCCACAGCCTCGCGACTTTCAGCGCACCTGGCCGCTTCGACCGCCCTCCCCACACCCAGGCCCCTCAGTCCCCTCCTCTGACCCCTCACGTTTCTTCTTCGCCCTCCTCTACTCCCCAACTTGGGCTCCTGTTCCTTCTCTGTTCTCAACTCCAGCGTCTCGCGTCCTCACCCTGGCCTCCTCCTCCCGGGTCCCCACACCCCGCCCCAGGTCCCCGCCGCCCTCTCTGCGTACCGGGTGACGCAGCGCCGCCTCCCCGCGACACAGCCGGGCTGACTGCAGGGGCCGCTAACGGTCCCGCGCCCCCCGGCGTCCGCGCGCCCAGCGCCCGGCGGACGAGGCCGCGCCGGCGGCGATGGGCGCGATGGGGGCGGCGGAGCCTCTGCAGTCGGTGCTGTGGGTGAAGCAGGAGCGCTGCGCAGTCAGCCTGGAGCCCGCGCGGGCGCTGCTACGCTGGTGGAGGAGCCCGGGGACCGAGCCCTCCGCGCCCGATGCTCGTGAGTGTGGCGGTCCGGGGCTGGTGGGGCCGGCGCTGCATCCCCGGAGCGATTCGGGAAGGCCGGGGTTGAGTGGACATGGGAGGGAGGAGGAGACCTGGGGCACGGGGAGAGGCGGCCAGGGCACCCGAAGCGCGGGGGGCCCGAGGTGCAGGGCCCTGGTGCCGAGCGGTCTGAGGATTCCGCGGTGGCCGCTGGCGGGGAACCGTCCGGCGCTGAGGGCCCAGACATTCCAGGAACTGGGATGACAAAGCCTCTGGAGGTGCTAGAGGGGGAGGGGAAGAGCGGGCGTCCACAAACCCCAGCGCATCCCCGGGATCCCAGGGGAAGTCTGTTGCTGGTGCTGTCGTCGGGATGCTCAGTCACACCTGGACAGGACTAGTGTCTTCCTCTAATACAGTGAACCTAAGTACAGGAGAAGCCCAGAGGCGCCCTGGTAGGGACTTCCTGTGATTAGATAGTTGAGCAAGGGGCTCTGACTTTCTGTTGGGGTATGCACCCTGCTCAGAGGCCCTCAGGACTGATAGGAGAGTAGCTTAGGTAAACATGAAAAAGATGCAACCCCCCCCCCCCCGCAGTGGCTGAGATGGTGGTACAAGGACACTGGAACCTCTCTCTCCAGACTGTTGCAGGTCTGTCTGGTGGCCTAGGGATTGGCAGAGGCTTATAAAGATGTCATTCAGTACGCCTTAAATGGAGGATTACAAAAGATTGTGTGTGGGCACCAGGGGTGGGGGCACCCAGGGGTGGACTTGTGGCTGTATTCAGTTTCATTCATCCATTGCTTTTTGTTTGTTTTTGGTTTTCCTTATATGGTTCAGGTCAGCCTCAGACTGAGATCACAGACATGTGCCGCGGAGCCCAACTTTAGTTTGTTTTCTTTCTCCCCGTTTTCTTTGCTGGGGACGATGGAATCCAAAGCCTGGGGTTTGCTTGCTAAACGCAGGCTCTACCAACAAACAGCAAACGTGCCCTGCAAGCTTTCTTGTGTGCCCTGCCTGCTAAGGATGGGCCTAGGGATCTTAGCCTGGGCTCAGCACATATGAAGTCTCTGGTGCAATGGGGAGGGGGCATTTTCCGTTTAAGGAGGCACAGAGGGACACATGGGGACAAATGCGTCTGATGGACTTGGATCCTGAGAAGAGCCTCTGAGATTAGGTCTTGAGGATAGTCTCTGACCGCTACAGGGTGGGCTGAGCAGGCCTCACTTATATGGTGGCATTTGCCCAGAGAAACCTGGAGAGACTGAGTGCTGATGTACCATGGTGGGGGAGGGGGGCTGAAGGAGGCAGGAAGAACCTTAAGACTTGGGTGTGTCAGGTCAAGGTGGATGGGGGAGGGGGACAACTGAAGAATCGGGACTAGGACTCCTGTGGCCTGGCAGGCTGAGGTGAGCACTGGCCTTTATTGTGGGGGTAAAGGGAACCCCTGTAAGGTGGGATCCAACTTAACTTTTTACAAAGACTTGGTGATCTCTTTTGGGAGGACAAAGAGAGGAGAGACAGAGCAGAGTGGAAGAGCAGTGGACCCAGTCTAGGTGGAGTTGAAGGAGGTAGACAGGGTTAAGTATAGGGGAATTGCCTGTCACTTTGCAAAGGTACCTGTGGGAGAAGCTTGGGTTTTTCTATTAATAAATCGTTGAGAGTGGGAGTAGTGGGAGTCAGGACTCCCCGCTGGACAGTCTGAGTTTGGAGTGTCAATCATTTATTCACTCATTCAACCCAGAATGGCCTTTTGGTATCCTGTGGGTAGCTGAGGCGCTAAGTACTCTGACGTGCCGCAAGGCTCTGCAGACTTAGCTGAAGGTAGGTAGGGCTAAGGTGACCTCAAACTGGTGACTAACCTGGCTTCTGGCCTTGGGATCAAAGAAGCATTGTCTTCTGAGTCCCTTTCTGTGGCCCAGTGCCTGGGACATGCTTACCCTGAAGTCTTCCTATGTGCCCCTGGCGCTGCCTCTCAGAGCCACTTCTTTCTTGTTCTCTGACTTTACCACTGTCCTGAATTCCAGGTAACCCTCCGGGGCCTAGAGTCTAGGCTCAGGTAAGAATGCTGTTGCATTGCGTGCTCGGTGTGTGGGAGCTGCTGGCCCCCGTTCTGTGCCATGCATACCAAATGGGCTCCGAGGTGGAGGAGTTCTACTGGCCCAGCTGGGACTTGAAGCTGAGCAAACTCAATTCCACAAGACAGCCCTGCCTCTTTTGGGCCTGGGAGGCCACGAAGGCACAAGGCACCGACAGGGCCCGCCTCCCTCCATGAGCTGTGGGGTGGGACATCCTCCATTGCCTGTTGTCAACATTGGCACAGTTGTGGTTTTTGGTGCCCACATTCTAGGTTTGGTTTGCTGGCAGCAGCTACTTTTAGCCGACTTTGTTTTTGCTGGCAGGTGGCTTCCCCAGCTGGCCAGCTCTGTGGAGTTAGTATTGCATCATCCCTGTGAAGTGTATGGCGACTTTTGTGTAGGCTCATCCAGAGCCTTCTGAAAGCAGCTCAGCAGCCCCGTCCTCTCTAGGACTGGCTGTGAGGGACCAGTTGGTAGCCTGCCCCAGAAAGTACCCTGCGCACTTCCCCTTCCCTGGTACTCTCCACCTCTATGTGAATATAAAAACAAGTTGGCAAACTCAAGTTTAGGAGAGAGAGGGGGGAGAGCCAAGATGCCTCCTCCCAACACCTCCCTTTCCCGTTTTTAACCTCCCAAAGAATTAGGCCTACTACAGAGTAAGGTGAGCTTGAAGCCTGTGGAGTCAGGAGAGCAGGGCTATGAGCAGGTCATGGCACATTTAATTCAGTTAGCCAGTGGCACTTCCAACCTGCCACTCCCCCAGGTGTGTCTGGACACACCTGAATTGCCAGGGCTGGGAACCGTGAGCAAAGGATTGTGCAAAAACAGATTGTAGGACCCGTGAGAGGCTGGCAGCCCCGGAACTCCAGGATAGCCCTCAGGGATGCTGTGCACCCTGCTGAGCGTTTTCGTTTATTCCTTCATTCTCTCCTGTTTTATACAAGTGAACTGGAAGGTTGTTCCCTGGGTGCCTGGCGCACAGCAGGAGCAGCCTCTGAACTCAGGCACACACTCTTTGTGGGGCGGGTGTCACCCAGCGCGCTGCCAAGTGCCCAGCAACAGAGATAAGGACTCAATCTTGGGAGGGGGAGATCGCACGGGGAGGAAGCTGAGCCAGCAAGCGTTTCTCCGCTTCTCCAGACCGCAGCCTGAGCGGAAGTGTGGCAGACTAAAAACAGGAAATGGCGGGAGGGGGGGCTTCTCTAAGTGGGTCACTAGTTGAACTTGAGACAGCCTGGAGTGATGTCTGGGCTTCCCCTCCCCCACGGGATGCAGTAAGGCACACTGTCAAGTCTGCGTTTGTAGGGGCTGTGTGTCTGTGTGTGCTGAGAGCTCAGGGGTGACATTGGGACCACTACACTGGGACCGCTGCCTAGGGTCCCCCTTTGCGGGGAAAACTTCCCTTATCTCCTACCAGCCTCTACCAGCCTCCACTTGGGTGCCGCAAAGCTGGCAGTGAGTTCATGGGCAAGTCACTGCTGTCTTTGCCTACATCCTCATCACCACCATCATGGGCAAGCTTACAAAAATAAGTCATGGGACTGTGGAGTGCTTGCCTAGCAGATACCAGGCCCTCGGATGGGTCACCGGCTCCCCCTTGCAAAAAAAAAAAAAAAAAAGTGCTGATTTAGTAAAACCTTGAAAGCAGGGACTGGAGACACGGCTCAGTAGTTAGGAGCGTGTACTGCTCTTGCAGGGCACCTGAGTTTGATTCCTAGACTCCACATCTAGGTAGCTCACAAGCACCTGTAACTACAGCACCAGCGGGATCCAGCGCTTCTAGCTTCAGCGGGCGCCTGTACTCAGCTGCACTGACTCTCCCACACACAGACATAATTTTGAAAGAAAAAAATAAATCTTTAAAAAAATCTAGAAAGCAGAAAAATTAGTATCACACATACAAAGCACTTAAATGCTCCGTGTGATTGCGTACGCAAATACGCACGAGACGGGGGGGGGGGGGGGGGGGGGAGTGAGGTAAATAACTGCAGCCTGTTTTCCATATTATCTCGCTGTTGTGAAACAAGGGTATTTTCTAAAAGAGCAGCTTCACCGAGATCTGTCTCTCCTGCAATAAAATCCTCATATTTTAAGGGCACAGTTCGACGTGTTTTGATAACTCTGCACCTGTGTAAACACAGCCAAGATAGGGCACAGGAGCCACAGCCCAGAACCTCTCCCTCCCCCTGTGCTGTTCTGAGGTAGATCTCTGCTCAGCTGTCTCCAAGGGATGGCTTTCACTCTGCAAGTGGTTCATAGAAACACAATCACACACAGCTCAACTCTGCACCTGAGGGCTCCCATCTCTCTTTACTGGTTTTATTTTTCATTTAATTAATTAACTAATTTATTATTATTATTATTATTATTATTATTTTGGTTTTTCAAGACAGGGTTTCTCTGTAGCTTCGGAGCCTGTTCTGGCACTAACTCTTGTAGACCAGGCTGGCCTCAAACTCACAGAGATCTGCCTGCCTCTGCCTCTTAAGTGCTGGGATTAAAGGCATGCACCACTACCGCCCGGTTTTATTTTTGTTTTTTTCAAGACAGGGTTTCTCTGTGTAGCAGTCCTGGCTGTACTGGAACTCACTTTGTAGACCTTGCTGGCCTTGAACTCACAAAGACCTTCCTGCCTCTGCCTCCCGAGTGCACGTACCACCATTGCCTGGCTCCATAACTGTGATTACTTCTTTTGGCTTAAATAGTTTGTGTGTGTGTGTGTGTGTGTGTGTGTGTGTGTGTTCACATGCATGCACACACATAGTGTACACGTTGCTGACTTCTTGGACTTGTTTCTGTCTTTGGCTGTGTGAGTAAGGATTCTGGGATCCTTTGGGGTCATCTGCTTTCCTTTCTCTTATGTGCAACTTTAAAGGAACAAGCAGGATCAAGCCAGATGTAGGAAAAGGACTGTGTCAAGATGTTTTTTTTATTTGTTTGT